CAAATTCCAGTATCGTCTGTAAACTACGATACGTTATAATTTATGTCCGGTATAAGGACGAGGAAAATGGTGGGATCGAGTACTGTGCCTAGGGAAAACAGGTTTCCACTGAGGCAGCCTCTGATTTCAACCTCTACTCAGAGTAATGAAGTAAATACTTCACCTACGGTTTGCAGCACATTTTTAAGTTAGGCTGTTCTTTATCTTTAAATATTAAATTATAATTTACAACCACGGAAAAACTATAAATATATGATAAACGGCCATACATATATAAAAAAAAAGCCCGCTGAGCTAATAAATGGCAGTTAGAGCAAGTCAGGTTGCTGCTATTCAAGAAGCATTCAACAGTCATCCATTTGACCGTTATTAAACAGTGACGCGATGTCTGAGGTCGAGAGGAAGGGCTACTGACTTAATTCTGTTTTCTATTATTCTTTAAGTTTCTTTTTTTTTTTCAACACATCGGGCGATTCCCACTAAGGCAGGGTGGTCCGAAAAAGAAAAACTTTCATAATCATTCACTCCATCACTGTCTTGCTAGAGGGGTACTTTACACTACAGTTATAAAACTGCAACATTAACACCCCTCCTTCAGAGTGCAGGCACTGTACTTCCCATCTCCAGGACTCAAGTTCGGCCTGCCGGTTTCCCTGAATCCCTTCATAAATGTTACTTTGCTCACACTGCAACAGTACGTCAAGTATTAAAAACCATTTGTCACCATTCACTCCTATCAAATAACGCTCATGTACGCTTGCTGGAAGCTCAAGCCCCTCGCACACAAAACCTCCTTAACCCCCTCCCTCCAATCCTTCCTAGGCCTACCCCTACTCCGCCTTCCCTCCACTACAGATTTATACACTCTTAAAGTCATTCTGTTTTGTTCCAATCTCTCTACATGTCAAAACCACCTCAAGAACCCCTCCTCAGCGTTCTGGATAATAGTTTTGGTAATCCCACACTTCTCCTAATTTCCGAACTACGAATTCTCTGCATTATATTCACACCACACATTGCACTCAGACACATCTCCACTGCCTCCAACCTTCTCCTCGTTGCAATATTCATCACCCATGCTTCACACCCATACAAGAGTGTTGGTACAACTATACTCTTATACATTCCCCTTTTTGCTTCCACGGACAAAGTTCTTTGTCTCCACAGACTCCTAAGTGCACCACTCACCCTTTTCCCCTCATCAATTCTGTGATTCACCTCGTCCTTCATAGACCCATCTACTGACATGTCCACTCCTAAATATCTGAATACATTCACCACCTCCATACTCTCTCCCACCAATCTGATATCCAATCTTTCGTCACAATCTTTTTGTTATTCTCATCATCTTACTCTTTCTATATTCACTTTTAATTTTCATCTTTTACATACACAACTAAATTCATCCACCAACCTCTGCAACTTCTCTTCAGAATCTCCCAAAAGCACAGTGTCATCAGCAAAGCGCAACTGTGACAACTCCCACTTTGTTTGATTCTTTATCTTTTAACTCCACACCTCTTGAATTCACTACTCTTACAACCCCATCTATAAATATATTGAACAACCACGGTGACATCACACATCCTTGTCTAAGGCCTACTTTTACTGTGAAATAATATCCTTCTCTCCTACATACTCTAACTTGAGCCTCACTATCCTCATAAAACTCTTCACTGTTTTCAGTAACCTACCTCCTATACCATACACCTGCAACATCTGCCACATTGCCCCCCTAGCCACCCTGTCATATGCCTGTACCAAATCCATCAATGCCACAAAAACCTCCTTAGCCTTATCTAAATACTGTTCACCTATATGCTTCACAGTAAACACTTGGTCTACACCCTACCTTTCCTAAAGCCTCCTTGTTCATCTGCTATCCTACTCTCCGTCTTACTCTTAATTCTTTCAATAATAACTCTACCATACACTTTACCAGGTATACTCAACAGGTTTATTCCCCTATAATTTTTGCACTCTCTTTTATCCCCTTTGCCTTTATACAAAAGAACTATGCATGCTCTCTGCCAATCCCTAGGTACCTTACCCACTTCCATACATTTATTAAATAAAAAATACACATGCTAGAACTAATATATACCGCTCTCGAGAAGAAAGAAGTCCCACTGGGAATTTTCATTGATTTACGTAAAGCTTTTGATACAGTCGACCATGAATTGCTGCACACTAAATTAACACACTGTGGTACAAGAGGCCACTCCCTCGAATACCTAAAGTCATACCTTAGTAACAGAAGCCAATACGTGTACGCAAATGGTGCAAACTCTTCCACATAACCAATCACAGTAGGAGTCCCACAAGGAAGTGTCCTTGGACCACTCCTCTCTCATCTACATCAATGACCTACCGAATGCACCACAGCTACTCAAACCCATATTATTTGCAGATGACACTACATACGTCTTCTCACTCCCAAACCCAGTCAACTCGCCAACACTGTCAATGCTGAATTGCAGAAAATATCTACCTGGATGATGACGAATAAACTTACCCTAAATACTGACAAAACCTATTTCATTCAGTTTGTAACCAGAGTTGCAAATGTTCCACTTAACATAACACTAAATAGATCACCCGTCACAAGACTCAGTGGGAAAATTCCTAGGAATCCACCTAGAAAGTAGCCTCAAGTTCCAGACGCACATACAACAAATGTCGAAGAAAATCTCTAAGACAGTAGGCATACTTTCAAAGATACGGTACTATGTTCCACAATCAGCTCTCCTTGCATTGTATCATTCACTTACCTACCCTTATCTCACATACGGAATTTGTGCATGGGGATCAACAACATAAAATCACCTAAGGCCTCTAATAACCTAGCAAAAAGCTGCAATCAGAGTGATGATAAATTCCCACTCGCTACAGCATACTCCACCTCTATTCAAAACTCTAAATTTGCTCACCATAAAGAACATATACACTTATCCATGTGCCTACTACATATATAGAACAATACACGCAAACATAAACCCTCCACTCAAACTTTTCCTCACCAACCTTAACAGGACATAAGACGCAGATCTCTTTTTGATGTACTCCGTGTCCATATCACACTGTGTAAAAACTCTATGCACATAAAGGGCCCCAAAATCTGGAATTCATTACCAGAACATACTAAGGTAACCAGGCCTGAAAATCACTTTCAGACTCTTCTAAAAAACCACTTACTCACCCAGGCCTAAATAATCAATACTCAATATTTAACATTACTTGTATCTTAAAACTTCAAGACAACATACAGTAAATTGATCATCTTGTTTGTTATACATTGCAATGCGACAAATTTGTACAACTATAATGCTTCAATACCGAAATGTTCAAATTTCATTGTTTCAAATGCACAATTGTACTTCATATTGTAAATTGTTTACGGTAATTTTTACCACTGAACCTTTCATTACTTGTTAATTTTAAATTAATTTTAAGCCTGCCCATAATGCTCTGCATACAAGGGGCTTTTGGCATGTACACCCAACTACTATAATTCCTTGTACAACTATGTATCATGTGCAACTAAACTATATATGAATATAGCACCAACCACTCCAAAACTATATCCCCACCTACTTTTAACATTTCTATCTTCATCCCATCAGTCCCAGCTGCCTTACCCCCTTTCATTCTACTCACTGCCTCGCGAACTTCTCCCACACTCGCAACTGACTCTTCCTCACTCCTACAAGATGCTATTCCTCCTTGCCCTATACACGAAATCACAGCTTCCTCAAAATATTCCCTCCATCTTCCCAATACCTCTAACTCTCCATTTAATAACTCTCCTCTCCTATTTTTAACTGTCAAATTCATTCGTTCCTAGGCTTCCTCAACTTATTAATCTCCAAAACTTTTTCTTATTTTCCACAAAATTTGTTGATAACATCTCCCCCACTCTCACATTTGCTCTCTTTTTACTTTGCTTCACCACTCTCTTAGCCTCTCTTTTTCTCTCCATATATTCCTCCCTCCTTGCATCACTTCTACTTTGTAAAAACCTCTCATATGCTAACTTTTTCTTCCTTACTACTCTCTTTACATCTTCACATTCTGTATGTTAGAAAACTAAAAATCCATCTACCCACTTTTCAGGTAATTTCTTTTTCACCCTTCTTCCTCACCCACCATCACCCTACCCTCACTCTTCCCCTCACTCTTCCCCTCACTCTTCCCCTCACTCTTCCCCTCACTCTTCCCCTCATCTCTTCGATTAGCTTGAGCAGTTAATTGAAGACACAATTGATCTACTTCCCTCAAGCTACAAAGGAACAATAATAAAGTTAAGCCTCTCGGGTCAGAAGGGATATAACCACAACGTTTAAGATATTCAAGAACACTGGTAGAATAGACAATGTGGGTCAGATAAATATTAGAAGTAAAACAGGAGGTATCATCGATGTAGACTGACGTACTGCCCACAACAGGGAAGGAAAAATGCAATTTGCAAAACATGTTTTTATAATGACAAAGTTTCGCCCTATGTAAGGCTTCATCAAGTCACGATCAAGCTCTAGACAGAGCGAAATGTTATCCGAAGCTTGTTCTGCAACACGTTTCCTTCACGGAAGTTAACTCCACTAATGAGCCACTGGAACGTTAGGAAAGATGTTCAGTTTACGGTAACGGGTGGGGGGGGGACGTACGTAAGAATAACAAAGAGGAGATAAACAAGAATATTACGAGGTAAGTCCGGGAGCTGAAGCTCAACCACACGTAAGCATGAGGAGACCATTAAGAGAATTACTATAAATGTGTGACCTACATAGTTTATGCGGAATGGTGGTAGAGCTCACGCAAGCCACGCATCATGTACATCACGCATTACATACATCCTCCCCCGGAACCTCCCACAATTCCATAGTGTGTCAGGTAAACAAGGGAAGGGGGGGGGGAAAGAGGGGAAAATGTAATTTTACAAGTAGAATTAACTACAAGGGGGTTAAACAATAGTCTGTGATGTGGATAAGTTTAAAGCCTAT